TTTGTTACCATACAGTTCAGGGAGCTTCTGTTTGTTACCATACAGTTCAGGGAGCTTCTGTTTGTTACCATACAGTTCAGGGAGCTTCTGTTTGTTACCACACACTGCCAGAGTAGCTCTCATCCTCTTACCGTTCCAGGAAGTTCCAACTTGTTGTACCTTCCTCATCGTAGCCAAAGCCAGAATCACTATGATAACATTTGAGAAGTTTTTGTATACCAACACTTGGGTTGAAACACCTTAGTCTACGTAACACATCATCATCAATATTTGTGTATCCGTCATTTCACATTTGTTGGTTGGACACTGGTCCACGTGTATGCTATGACATAGTCTTATGCTTTTTACAGATGAAGCCTATAGAGATAATGATCCTGTTGACATTTGTAAATTTTTTTCATATAATAATTTCATTTTCTCAACATCATTCATAATTTGTCTAGAAATGGGTAATGATTTGTAGCCTTTGTTGTTTTCATACACTTAAAAATAATATCTTCTCCATTAAAAATGTTGTATATTCCTTCCATTAACTTACTAAATTCTTTTTTTCATACAGTATCTCTTAAGATTTTTCAAGTGGCTCCATTTTATTTCTGTTCCTTTTAGAAAGGATTTTGTATGATATTAGTTTATCAGGGTTCATTTCTACTGTTGGAGATGATATATTTAAAATCATATGGCATGACATACTATTCAGGCATTTCAAAGCAAAAATAAAGTTTTGAAAAAGAATTAAACCAAAAATATATCTAAGGTTTTCCCTTTTTTGTAAACTTTTTTTTGTCTTTTTTTATTTTAATCTTGTTTCATTTAAAGACTAGTTATATGGAATAATATATATATATATATATATATATATATATATTATTTATAATAAAACTCAAATAACAGTGGATTTGAGTGAAAAGTTGAAGCTTGTAGTTTATTTATTTATTTAGCAAGTTTTATGATGAAGAATTTACTCGTCACAATGATAATGAAAGGTGTTAATAGCGATTTGATTTAGGACACTCTTCACATCACTGTATACTTTTCAGTATATCCTATTATATTCTAAACTTTCAGTTGGTGCTAGCACAGAAGATCAGTGTGAACCTCAGCCAATTCCATCACTGTTAGTTGGTTATGATAAAGACTGGTTGGCTGTTTCTCCTTTTGCACTGAAACTATGGGTAAGTTTCATTTGGAACATTTATAGTACCTTAAACTTGTTAAAATAAAATTGTTGTCTTATCTATATGATGGATATTTAACAGTTACCTGGTGATGTGAAACTATTGTTTTCCTGTGTTAAAGTACCTGTCGCCCCTTTTTATTGATGTGAAATAGTGTCATCTTTGTAGTTGGTTGTGGTAAAGTACCTGTCACCCCTTTTTTATTGGTGTGAAATCGTGTCATCTTTGTAGTTGGTTGTGGTAAAGTACCTGTCATCTTAGATGTTGGTGTGACACTATGGTTTGGTTGTGTTAAAGTATGTGTCACCTCTGATGTTGGTGTGGCACTATGGTTTGGTTGTATTAAAGTATGTGTCACCTTTGATGTTGGTGTGGTAAAGTATGTGTCACCTTTGATGTTGGTGTGGTAAAGTATGTGTCACCTTTGATGTTGGTGTGACACTATGGTTTGGTTGTATTAAAGTATGTGTTACCTTTGATGTTGGTGTGACACTATGGTTTGGTTGTA